CCATGTTCGATTCCTAGCACCCACATGGTGGCTCACAATCATCAGTAACTCCAGTTCTGGGAGAGTTGATACGCCCTCTTGAACTCGACAAGCCTGTGGTAGACATACAAGAAAAACATTCACATACACAAAATAAAATTAATTAATTAAAAAATTAAAGTCCATTGTCTTGTTTGTCCACCAAGAAGTAGGGCAAGCCAGCATTATATCTCAGTGGCACAGCAGTTGCCTGGCATACACAAAGCACTGTGTCCAATCACCAGCACTGCAAAAATAAACAAAAATAAAGTAAATGGAGGGAGGGAGGAAAGCAGGCTACATCTCTGCAGGGCCTCTCACTCCCGTTTCGATGTAGGGTCTCATTCTGTAGCCCAAGCTGACCTTAGATAGGGTCTTGAACAGAGTTGATCAATCCTGTTCATCTCACAGGCCTCTGAATCCAAGCCTTTTTATTCTGTGCATGCCTCCTAGATTCTTCCTCCCATCACACACACACACACACACACACACACACACACACACACACTACTGTCATACTGGTTTCAAAACCCAATTAATTGACTTAGAATAACAGGGTATCTCAAAAGTCTTAGTGTGGTAGTTTTAATAACCAAAGAATTATAAAGCTATGAATTGATAAAAAAAATACCACCTGGTGACTGCCGTGCCCTCACACCCATAATCCAGCACTCGGGAGGCAGAGGCAGGAGGAGCATGCAAGTTTGCGGCCAACCTGGTCCACATAGAAAGACAAAAGAGATAGCATTTGAAAGCTTATTTATGTCTTTCTTTCTTATTTTCCCCCCTAAAGTTGGCAAAAATTGGCAAAAAGGGATAAGTTAGTCCAAATTAACAAAACATAGTTAATATAAGAGAATTTAAATTAAGCTTTCAAATTATATTTCTTGCTTTATTGTTATATAAATATTTGTATTTTATATAAAATATATGCTTAATTTTTATATATTTATATAAAATATATTTCACATATGAATATATTTATATTTATTATTGATTTATTTTTTTATATAATATCTGGCATATCTAAAAGCTTAAACACAGCCCTTGGGAAGTGGAGAGAGGATCAGAAGTTCAAGTCCAGCCTGAGACCCATGAGACATGTCTCAAAAAACAATACCACAAAAAGCTTAGGATACCGTGGCTGGGAGCCCTCCTGCTGGTTACCTAACCTTTAGTCCTTCCATGTAAAATAGGGACCTGACGAACCATCTCTAAATGCTAGCCTTTATTTGTATTGTCATTGTTGAATGTTATATAATATAGTGTATTGAGTAAGAGCAAAACCATATATCTCTCTTGATCAGTGCCTTATTAGTGTGTTTCCAATTTTCCAATGAAAATGAAACTTACATTCTTTCCAGAATGCTGGCCTTTGCTTTGACTGTCTCCTGTTTTCTTCCTCCTTTCCTTCCTTTCTCTTTTTTTTTATTTCTTTGAGACATAGTCTTGCCATGTGACACTGACTGACGTCATACTTGCTGTGTAGACCAGGCTGGCCTCAAACTCCGAGAGATTTACCTTCCTCTGCCTCCAGAGTGCTAGGTTAAAGCATGTGCCACCATGCCCTCCAGCCCTGGTTTATTAGTGTGGGCATGTGTGGGTGGGTGGCGAGAATGCCGAGTGCCACAGCGTGCCTGTGAAGGTCAGAGGTCAATTTTGTGCCGTGGTTTGTCTCTTTGCAGTTTTATATGGGTTCCTGAGACTGAACTCAGGTTGCCAGGCTGTACAGCACTTGCCCTTTCTGGCTAAGCCATCTTGCCAGATCTACCCTGTTCTGTCGTGAGGGAGGAGTCCTAGGGAGAAGCTGTGTCCGGCGGCCTTAGGCCTCCAAAATTGCAACGCCCGACTGGGTCCTCTGCCTCTGATGCAGGACTCTCTCCACTCTCTGACATTGCTGCAGCTTCTTAGAGCCCTCCTCCAACATGCCCCCGTAGCTAGTTGCCCCTCAGCTGGACCCACCAAGGCTGGGGTGGGGGAGTTCTGGCTCCCTGGAAAACAGTATCCCCTTCCTATGTGGTGGCATAAGTGCTGGCAGGCAGACAATTCCTTGTCCTTCCTGAGCTATTTTTATATCTTATGGGTTTCCTGTGGGGACCCAATCCAGCCTCCAGGGTCTCCGGGCTGGAAGCTTATGGGCAGGGAGCTGAGCAGTGGCCAGGAGACCCCGTGGCCATTTCTCTCCTGGAGTTTGAGACAATGGAACTCAAGGCTTAGCTTTGGAGAAGTTGACGGGGGAGTGAACGGAAAACCCTCCACCCGCCCAATCACAGAGCCAGGCTAGGATCCAGGCCACCATGGACTCAGCCTGGGGTGGGGGTGGGAGTCAGCAGGCCTGGGCCAGTGACACAGCAGCTGGGGTGTGCTGGGAGCTGGCTGTCCCTGAACTTGCTGGCCCTGGGCCTTGCCCAGAATAGCTCAGGGCTGAGCCCGGACTGGGACAGACTTGTGTGTACATGAACTACTGGAGCTTGTGTACCAAGACACTGGTATGCAGGGAGGGCGTTGCACTCTGCATGCAGCTCTCTGTGTGTCTGTGTGTCAGTCTGTGTCCTTGTAGGTGGATGTACAAGCGTTCATGAATGGGGCTGCTACCAAGGAGCTGTGTGGCATAGGGGCCCCACCTTCCCGTAACTGGAGGACCCATATGGCCCAGTTGAGTATGCACACTGGCTCATTTCTCACCTGTGGAACTGCGTGTATGTACAGGACGTGTTTATGTCTGTGGGGAGTTGAAACAAGATCCCTGTGATGTCAGGAGGCAGTGGATTTGGCGGGAAGTCCAAGGGGTAGACCCGGATCCCCAGACAAGGACTAACTGGAAGAGATGCTGGCCAGGTCTTGCCACATTTGGCAGAAAACAGGGAGTGATGACACCTGTGAGGTGGTCCAGAGCTCAGTAGCCTTCCAAACACAGGGGCAAATTTGTGACCAGGAAGTCATATCTGGTGAAGAAGACTGGGGCAGCCCTTCCTTTCTTTCTGCCAGGAGCCCAGGCAGTATTGCCTCTCTTCAAACACTTGCACAGATGAGGAAACTGAGGCCAGAGAAGGAAAGGGCTGACTCGGAGGCACCTGGCACAGACCGGTTCTTTCTAGCTCATGGCCTGCTGCCCTGCCTGCTAAAAAATGAGGCAGGCAGAGGGCAGAGGTAAAGAAATAGAGCTCTAGGGGAAATGAGGCTCCCTTGGGGGCACAGGAGAGGGTGCGGAAGGCAAAACTCGGGGTGAGGGACTGGAGAGATGGCTGCTGTCCCAGAGTCCTGAATTCAATTCCCAGCACCCACACGTGGCTCACAACCATCTACAGTGGGATCTGATGCCCTCTTCTGGCATGAAGTCGTGCCTGTAGATAGAGCGCTCATACATAAAACAAATAAAAAATTATATAAAAAAATGAAAGACAGAAAGTACAGCAAGTACTTGCTTGCAGGATTACAGGAATGAGGACCTGAGTTTCATCCCCAAAACCCATGTGAAAAAGCCACATGTGGTGAACATTTGTAATCCTGTCACCAGGACAGCAGAGACAGACACAGCCCCGGTACTCACTGGCCAGTCAATCTAGCCAATGTGGTAGGTCAAGGCCAATGAGAGATTGTCTCAAAAATAAAAGGGACATCACCGGAGGAAATACAGCCACATGTGCACACACATCCACATATGTGCATCTGCATATGTACATATACATCTTATACACACACATACACACACACACACACAAAGAGAAACCTGTAATGTATTTACCTTTTTAAAAGTATTTCAAAGAAAAAAAAAAGCAAAGGCTGGAAAGAGGGAGAGAGGTCTTGGCCAGATGGGGAGGGAAGAAGAGGTTGGGGAGGGTTTTTGAGGTGGAGACCCAAGAGCAGAGCAGTGTGGAAGGGGGGGGGGGCGATGAGAGTGTCACCTGTGGTAGGGGTCCAGGGCAACAAACTCTGAGTGAGCCTGGCACTGTAGGGCAGCTTGGCAGAACTTAAGCTCTCACCAAAAAACAACCAAAGGGAGTCAGGGCTGCTAAAGTTGGCAGGCCCCTTCCTGGAGTAGTTGTCTCTTCTTGGACGCCCCTCCACTTCCCGGCAAGATGGATGGAGGCCGTCCAAGACTTGAGTTGGGGGCAGGTGGGCCATCCTTACTCTCTTTCACAGCTGTTTCTTTCCCAGGCTTCTTCCCTCTGTGCTCAGACTTGGAAGGGTTAGAACCAACTCAGCCAGGCTAATCAGCCCCTGGAGGCCAGGTGCCCCTGCAGGTGCCGGGGTGACTCACTTGCCGGCCAAAAAGGGAGCCCGGCAGCCAGACAGCAGCCCTCTTTGTTACAGGTTTAGACCATGATCCCTTCTCCTTTCAAGAGTTTGGTCTGGAACTGCGCCGCTTTTTCCAAGGTCGAAGGCTTTGGCACAGAAAACTGGCCAGCTTCAGGCTGTACCCGGAATGGATGCAGGGGGCCTCCCTCAAGGTCACACACAGCAGTAGCTGTTACCGAAGGACGCCCACTCAGTGGCTGCGGGGCATCATGGCCAATTGGTCTACGCAACAAGTTTCCCGAATATATCAAGGTCTCCTTCGCGGGGGGGTGTGTGGGTGAGGATAGGAGCTCGGTGGCCCAAAAGGGGTCGGCAAGGTCCCAAGGCTGCAGCCCGGTCAGAATCGGTGGGCAAGAAAATCAGGTGGCCTCAGAGACCACCCGCCGATTTCGGATCTGATCTGGGAAGGGAAGGTAAGAGGCGACTGACAGCCAGGGTGCGATCCTGAGGTGCACGCCGGCCGGAGCAGAACTTTCCCAGTCCTCCGGTGGCAGAAGAGGCGTCTGAAGAGTGTTACTGGCGCGGGGACTATCTGAGGCCGCGCCCCGCCTCCTCGGAGGCGCCCCCGTGTGAGCAACACCCCGGGGCGGGGCGCGGAGAGGGAGGGCGGCGGGGCAAGGAGCTGCGCAGCCACACTATCACCGCGGCGCGTGGCGCAGGTAAGGGCGCGCTTCGGTGGGCGGGGTCTGCTGCCCCTAGAGCTCGGCAGCGGGTGGGGGCTCTCGCCTGCTCCCGCTGCCGTGGTCACGATCCCTCCATCTTCGGTCTCGGCGGAGATCTTAGCTTCCTCCTCCCTGTCCCTCGGCCACCCGGCTCCGGTTTGAACTCAGCGCGGGGTCCAAACCCCTGCTGCAGTGAGGAGCGCTAGCCGGGACCGGTGTGCCAGTGTATCACCCAGAGGGAGGGGCTGCCACGAGGAGGTGACCTGGCTGGTCAGGGCGGAAGGGCTGACAGAGAAGCCGAGAAGGTGGTGTTGTTTGCCAGGGAGGAGCGTTAGACAAATGCCTAAAGGTTGGAGCAGAGTAGTTTGGGCAACTCCCGGGACTGAGAGGAAGGGGAAGCTGGGACGGACACTACTGCAGAGACTGGGAGGTGTCTAGGGCCAGAATCTTGGACCCTCAGAGAGGCAGAGGCTGGGGCTGGAACCTGGAGGGGCAGGTGCGACTGTTCTGCGCACTTGCGTCCCTGGGGGCAGACACTCTACACAGCCCACTGGGTATGTAGGTTGATTAATGGGCCTCCAGCGCGGTCTAAGAAAAGGCCTCCCAGCAAAAATAAGGTCCGTGCCAGTCCAGACCAGGAAATACCAGAGTGAGTGCCATGCTAGGGTGCGGCTGAGGGGCCTAAAGGGTCAGGGCTGGATGAGGGCGGAGAAGGCCCCAGTGACCCTGCTCAGGGGAAGTCTGGTGTGGACAGAGGCCAGGAATGCAGAGAAAAGGAAGCAGGTCAGACTACTGTTCAGATGGCCACAGGACAATAGCTGACTCACCTGTGCACGACCCAACTTACTTGCCTGGCCTCACCCTGTCTGTGAACATCCAGTCTACCTGTGAGACAGGAGGCTGGGCCCTCAGGAATGCACTGTGTACCTACCTCAGTGAGTCACCCAGCATCTCTGAACCACTTCATTCTGGTGAGCCTGTTAGGGCCCAGAGTTAGAGGCTGGGGTCCGAGCTCTGCACTTGCTCTCCTGGACTGTTTATGCCTCAATTTCTCCCTTCACACAGCCTGCCACTAAGGAACCCAGAGTTGGCAAGAGGGAGACTCTAAGGAGGCCATGTCCTTGACTAGAGGGTAATGGGATGGGTGGTGGGCCCAGGATTAGCAGGGAGTGCTCTGTTACTCCACACCGCCACTTCCCTGCTCACTCAACTCTCAAACACTCCCAGCCCAGAGACTTCTGCATCGGACTCCCAGGCCCAAGTGCAGTCTTCCGAGACCCACTTCACCATCTCTGCTTAATTTCTACCCTTTCCTCTGGGTGATGAGATTTCCTAGGGGTGGAAATTCTTCCGGGACCACAGACCTGGAAAGCCCTGTGGAGTTAGTCAGTATTAACCTGGGTCCGTAGGATCCGCTCAGGTCTAGTCTATGCTTTAGGATGTTTGGGATTGTGGAGCTTAATGCCCAGGTTCTATGCCAAAAGACGCTTCTCTCTACAGTTTGTTCTTTTGAGGGGCAACCATGGTAGTCTGAAGTGTTTGGATCTAGTTAGATCTCCATTTCAGAAAGGACCAGGGGCAAGGATACGCTGTGACATAACAGACCCAGATGCTCACTTGTGGTGAAGCAGGCGAGGTTGTGGGCTGGGTACCAGGGTAGTTCAAGGTTGCAGTGATAGACTTTAGTCTGTCAATTTCTGGAAGCATGGTTGAGGGCCAGGGAGGTCTGGGCCATGTGACGCACTGTAACCCCTCAGCTGGGCTCTCCTGGTCAGTGGGAACTGACCCAGAGGCTCCCTTATCTGTCCCCCTCGTCTTCCACTTGTGTGCAGGGGACTCTGATAACGGTCAACAAAGATGGGTGCAACTGGGTGTCCCATGATTTCCTTTTCCTGACTCTCCTTCCCACAGCCTCACCCTCCCCACCCTGCCCCAGCAGGAAAGGTGGGGCGGGAATGCTTTGGCCCAGGATCAGGGCCAGAGTCCTGAGGTTCCTGCCCTCCTCTCTTCTGGAGCCAATTCTCTGGGAGTCCTGGGTTCTGCCAGAGATTTGTGGTGCCCCTGTAGCATCTTTGGGGTGGATTCAGGAAGACTGATCCCCCTCCCATTTACTGGGATCTGCCCGATATCCCCTGCCCATCCTCAACTGTCCTGACGACATCTCTTGCCTTACCCAGGTCTGCTAATCTAAGTGTTTCAGAGTGTAAGGACTAGGCAGAGTGAAGACACTAACTCCACCCTGAGGCATCTGTCAGATCAGGCCATTTGGACAGATGATCATCCTTGCCAACTGAGGTCAGCAGCGGTTACTGGGAGAGGCTTTGCCTGGGTCCAGGGCCACAGAGAGCCCCGCTACGGAGGGGGGTGGGTCAAGCTTCCTCACTACCCTTGCCTCATGTCAGGATGCTGCATTGCTGCTTGCTTAGAAGATCCCTCACTTAGAGCAAAACCGTTCAAGGCTCCAACTGACCTGCCAGCCCACCCCAGTGACCCTGTTCCTGGGTGGTACCCATCCAGCAGGCTCAGTCTGGTTGGGGGAGGTAGACATACAGGGTCTGGGTTCCTGCCCACGCTGAGCTTGTTCATTGCCTGGCTCTATCTGCCACCTATCATCAGGTTTGACCTGCTGAGTCTGACGTTTGGTCTGCGGTTACCTTGCTCTGAAGCCTTCCATGTCTTCAAAGTTGATTGAGGCCAATTCATGCTTGTCTTCTGGCCAATGAAGGTGGGCCATCCTCACAGGCTGGACTGACACTCCAATGAGCGTTGCTTTTATTTCTCCCCACTACTATGCTGTCCTCTTCTTCCCCTCTTTCCTCTTCTCTCTTCCTCTTTCTCTCTCCTCCTTTATGATAAGGTCCCAGGCTACCCTCAAATTTACAGCAAGATCCTGCTGCCTCAGCCTCCCCTCCGCTGGGTCCTCAGGAGGTTGCCACCAGGCTACGCTGCTCATCTTTGTTGCTCCATTGTGGCTTCAGCAGGAAGCCTCCAGAGGCTCTTGCCTTAGGTTCTTCCTGGCTTACTCAGCTCTGTCTAGTGACAAGGAGCCTGGGCCTGGTCATCATGATATTGTTGAACTCTTCTGATAGCATGTGTGTCCCTGTCCCCGATGACTGCGCAGTCCCCAAGTGGTAACTTTCAGTGGAAAGGTGGCTAGGGCAAAGAATGACTAGGTAGTCATCTCCCTAGGTGCGTGGACCCATGGCAGTGTTTGAGCAGGCCAAACTGAGCTGAAGGAGACATGCTCTTGGGTGGGAAGGGATGCTTCCTTGGTAGTTTGCAGCTCTCCTCTTCCAGGGCCCCATCAAGGAGCAGGACAGAGGTCAGTGGCCAGAAGAGATCTCTTTGAGAGAAGCAGGACTAAGAGAGTCTGATGTGATGGTTAGGGGACTTGCTTCTGGGAACTAGGGAGGATATTTGTGAGCCTGTCTTGTGTCTTGTGTCCTGTGTTCTTCCTCTCCAATAGGCCCCGTGCCTCACACCCTGGCTATGTGTAGTTCTGAGGAGGCAGACCTGCTTCGGCTGGAGGAGTTCTTCTCAACTACCCTTGCCCGCACCAATAGTCTCATTCTCCAGCCGCTCTTAGCTGGTGAGTCAGGCCCTCGGTGGGGAACGGAGGGGACACAGGAGTGGCCTCCAGGGATTAGAGTTCTGCCTTGTTAGACATCCTGAGGCAGCTTTCTCAGCCTCACGTGGGAGTGGTGGCACTTGATAGTGCCATCTCTTGATGGAGCTGAGTACTTGGTCACAGGGAACTGGTGGTTCCCTTCCCAAATGGCCTCTGAAGACCACAGGCCTAGCTATACCGATTGCCTCAATTCTTGCTTCCACTCAGGGCTCCTGGTGGTGCTTTGGGAAGGCCTGACTAGAAGGCAGAACACACAAGGCTTTCACTGGGGGTGGGGGGGGGATTGTCTCTCTTGTCACATGACCTTGGGCCGGTGCCTTCCTCTCACTTATGTAAGGTAGCTGGGGACCGACCCTGAAGATTCCACAGTTTGCTTCTGGGTCTAGAGAGAAGAGGCAGAGATTCGGGGAGCTTGGAGATTTGGCTCCCCCAAAATAATTAGAATTGTCCTGTTAAGCAGGAGGCATATGTACAACTAGGCTTACTCTAGAGTTGAGCCCTTTACCCCAGCATGCCCTGCCCCTGAGGAGCTCTAGGCCCTAGAGTCTGGGGGTGTTGGTACTGTCTTGAGCACCCCAGGGCTACAGGACCTCTCCTCAATGCCCGCTCAAACAGGGTGTGCTTTCCACAGACCCCGAACCCTCAGACCCCTGTGGCAGAGCGTGCCTTCGACTTCTGCAGCAGCTGCACGAAAGTACCCAGCGGTTATGGGAGGTGACGGAACAAAGCCTGCTTTCTCTGCGGCAGAGGCTGGACCACCCGTCCTCCATGAGTCTGGAGGCCCTGCTGTTGCTGAACAACGCTGACTATGTCCAACAGGCCCACATGGAGTAAGACCCCCTGGGGCAGTCTGTTGCTTGGCCACAGTGCCAAAGTATCACCTCTGCTACTTGGTCCTAAGGGTCACCGTCACCTGGCATGGGGTTCCTGGGTCGGGTGTTGGCTTGGCAGCAGGGTCTGAGCTGGATCAGGCCTATAAGATACAACTGTTGAGCTAGGGCTTGAAGGTGTCAAGGAATTGCCTGGGCCATAGGGTTCTGTGGGTGGGATTTGGGACCTCAAAAGGGCAGGGGCTGAGTGTGTTGGGAGCTGGGCTTTCAAGGTGATCCTGGGTTGCCCATAGGTACATCAAATCCTATACTGACTGTGTGGTGATGCAGGCCTTTCAGAAGGTTTCAGAGAAGAGGAGGTGAGGCTGGGGCTGCCGTGGTAGCTCCCTATGTGTGTGTGGGTGTCTAGATGAGGGGGATTTTAGGAAGCCCACCCCAAAGGAGCAGGTGTCATGTCCACCTGCCCCTCGGGTGTCTACAGTCAGTGTTCCTGTCTCCTCTGAGGTGTGGCTGCAACACCGTCAGAAAGAGAGCTCCAAGTTTTGCAGGACTAATGGGGTACAGGGCTGGGGTCCTGGGTCTGGGAGCCCGGAGCGTGGTTAGAACGGGATGGTATAGGTGGGTGCGGGCCTGGAAGGGGTGGGGGTCGTATGTGACCCTCCCTACATGCAGGAAGTACTGGAAAAGCCAGCGGAAGACCCTGCAGCAGCTGCTGTTCTGGGCCAGCTCCGAGGGCTCGGTGGGCACCATGCTGTGCCAGGCCCTCAGACAGCCACTCACCCAGCACGTGCAGAAATACGCTCACCTCTTAAAGGCCCTCAGGAGCACCCTTGACGAGGTTGGTAGGATGGGTGTGTGGAGGAGGAGCTGGAGGAGAGAAGAAGCCTGGCTCAGGGGAGCAGGTTAAACAGTAGGGAGGGGCCCCAAGAGAACATAGCCTTGCCCAGCGGAGGGTTCTGGGGGGGCATGCATCGGCCCTGTGGAATCTCGGGCACATGCCTCTTCCTTGATGGGGGCAATTGACACTCAAAGGGCAGACATAGACTTTCTACTGGGTGTGAGGACATAGGACCCAAGGCCATGTTATCGATGTCCCTGAAATGTCCCTGTCCCCAAAAGAGTCGTCAGGGAGAAAAAGTGAGCTGTGGTTTAAACGTAGGCCAGGCTGGGGCCCTCATGGCCTCCACGGGGATGAGGGCTGCTTCCAGACCCTCAGAGCCTCCCCACCTGTCTTGTCCCCTCCACAGCACCACCCAGCCCAGGAGCGGGTGATGGAGGCAGTCACTCTGTTTGAGAACCTGCAGTCCTTCATGAGTCAGGCCTTGGACCAAGCTGTGACCACACAGGCCCTGTGGCACAGTCTCAGCAGCCGCATGAGGGTGAGTCTGGGGCTTTGGCACAGCCAAGGAAGGGGGTTTCACACTGGATATGAGGCTGTACTGGGTGACTTGAGCAGCTCCCGCCTCAGTTTCCCCATCTGGAAGGAAGACTGTTGGGAGGAACTCCTACACAGCTGCTGCTGGCTCAGGCAGGTTGGCACACAGCCTTACTCTGCCCTTTGTCTACAACACCTTCTGTTGTTTAACAAATGTAAATCTGAAAATTCCCTGAAGGTGCAAAGTCTATGCAAAACTTGGTTGGGAAAATCTCAGTATTCTTTATCAAGAATTTGCATTTGTTATGGTCCCTTTGGAAGCTTAATTAAGTTGTTTTGGGACATGGAAATCAACTGGCTAAGGTGTAAATTGGAAAACAATAGAGAAGCCCTTGGCTAAGGGAAGGCTGCCAGGCAGTCTCAGTCCCCAGAGGCTGAGTCCTCCTGCAGCTGGAAAGGCTGTTTCCTTCTTAAGGTTCTTCTTCCACCTTGAACCCACACCCAGTCAACAATAGAAGACATAACAGGCTTGGACCAGGAGTAGGGAGGACCAGAATAACCATGGGAGACAGCGGGGGATAGTATACTGGTTATGAGGGTAACAGGAGCCCCCTGGCTGTGGCAGGGATGCAGTATGGAGACACCCAGGAAAGCCCCAGAGAGAGAAGCTGTGCTGTCCTTCTGAGCTAGCCCAGGGATGACCCCCCCCATCTTGGAGTGTGTGTGTGTGTGTGTGTGTGTGTGTGTGTGTGTGTGTGTGTGTGAGAGAGAGAGAGAGAGAGAGAGAGAGAGAGAGAGACCTGGGGGCTACCCCAGATCTGCTGGGATGGTCTCTGGGAGGTGTCTGGGGCGCAGGAGGGACCTGCAGGGCTGCCATCAGCCTCCAGTGTAGACACCTAACTCTTGCCTCTCCCTTCGTCCCACTAGGATGTGCTGTGTACCCCTGCCCACCGACTCCTGCAGGACAGCCAGGACATCCCTGTGGTGGTCACCCCACTACGGGCTGAGCGCGTGCTGCTCTTTGATGATGCCCTTGTTCTGCTACAGGTTAGGAGGATTATCGTGAGGTGGGGCTCTGGGATCAGAAACTGAACAGGCCACAGACTTAGAGATGGGGCGGGGGCGGGGAAGGGGGGAGAGTAGGAAGGGAGAGTGGTGGCTGAAAGGTCAAGGCTTGCAAGTCAAGCAGAAGACTGAAAGGTTTGTCCCACATCCAGTGACTCTGACCAAACTCACCTGGAACTTGTGCTCATACACTGTCTCCCCTGGCTCAGCATGGTGGCCTGGTTTGATGTGTGCATCCTCCTCTGATTGTGCCTGTGCCCTCTGATTGTGTCTGTGCCTCCTCTGATTGTGCCTGTGCCCTCTGATTGTGTCTGTGCCTCCTCTGATTGTGCCTGTGCCTCCTCTGATTGTGTCTGTGCCTCCTCTGATAGTGTCTGTGCCTCCTCTGATTGTGCCTGTGCCTCCTCTGATTGTGCCTGTGCCTCCTCTGATTGTGCCTGTGCCTCCTCTGATTGTGCCTGTGCCCTCTGATTGTGTCTGTGCCTCCTCTGATTGTGCCTGTGCCCTCTGATTGTGTCTGTGCCTCCTCTGATTGTGCCTGTGCCCTCTGATTGTGTCTGTGCCTCCTCTGATTGTGCCTGTGCCTCCTCTGATTGTGTCTGTGCCTCCTCTGATTGTG